TATGCCTTAATATTCATGACCAGAATTAAAACTTTTGCTAAAGTATAATCTACTGCCTTAATATAATGTTTAAAATTTTACATCATTTGTAATCAGTAACCTTTTCCAGGGGAGGACAGGGAATTAATAATCATAAAATAAACATTTTTCTGAATGCTTAACCAATGTATTTCCCTCTTACAGTGGGAAACTCTAGTTTGTAACCAGTGTTGGAGGAAAAAAAAACAAAACCAGCATTAGAAAATATTCAATACTGACATGAAACACATGCCCCAAACTTATTTCTTCTACGGAAGGCATGATTTGGTACCTTGCCTAAGCAAATCTACCTTTAGTAAATATTTATCATCACACTTATTCATTTATGAACATATAACTTTTTGTGAACAGTGGACTATGAAGAATACATTATTTCTTCCCATGGCAAATCTATTCCATCCTCACCCATTTCTGCCATTAAATTAAACATATTCCAGACTACAACCACATTCCCAGGTCCCTGGCGCACATCTTCTCTGCCCAACAGTTAGGTATTGTCAATGACTTTTGCTGCAGATCATTACTAGGAAACTAACCATTGCTGCCTAGCAGCTAGAGCCAGGAAGACTAACCCAGAGACAACTGACATCTTCTCTCCATCTTATCCTCCCTTCCTGCCTTCCTCTCTAAGCTTCCCCAAGACCTACCCCAACACGGCACCAGAAAATGTGCTTCCTTTTCTTCCTGGCTACTGTTCATAGTCTTCTTAATAACCACCTGCCCACACTCCAGCTTCCCGGACGGTGACTCAAGGGTAACTAACTCATCAGCATCCACCAGGCCAACCAGACGCTAAGGTATTGCTTTCCTGTCTGCAGATCCGGCTACTGAAATGTCTTCTCGTGATAGCTCACACTTTAATTCTGGACACTTGTTGGCTGGGCTATTCACTGAACTGCAGACTTGGCGCTACGGTTAATCCCCTTCGTTTGGAGAGGGGACTTCTTAACCAATGCCCCCTCACCAAAAATAAATAAATAAAAGATAACTTAATAAAATAAAGACAGACAACAATGATATAAATCAGCTAAAGTATTTTTACCTTCACCACTACTTATATAAAATATGATGATGTATTTTTGATGCATGTGCAAAGTCTTATGTGTGCAGGCTACCATCTGTGTGTGCACTGTATGTGTGTGTGTGCACGTATGTGCATTAGATAGAGAGAGCGAGACAGGCAGTGGTCTGGAACCATGTGTATGGTGTTAGTGTTAGATTTGTATCATTATTGATAGCACTTTCTCTAGTCGAGTGTGTTTTTTTTTAAATGCCATTGGTCTCCTTAATCTTTATTTAGGGGAAATCATGCCTACATTTCACACGTTACAGTGCACACGTTTCAATATTTTTCCAAAACTTATTTTCTGGAGAGGAAAACAAGTCATTAACTCACGTTAATTTAGCAGATTATGCTTATTTCCTAAGGCACTAATTGCTAAAGAGGGAATAGCTCACTATATAGAAAAGACGATGCCGTGACCTCATTAGGCTGATGTAACCTTCCACCAACAATAGGCAGCGGCTCAAACACTGTTGTGTGCGCTTCAGCGAGAAGCAGATTGTTATGGTCGCCAAGAGAAACTCTCAGCTGCAAGCGAGAGGACAGGCCGAAGCTGGACAGCTGGGCAGCGCGGGCCCACGACGTGCCTGCAAATATACAGTGACCGTTTCTTGTTGCACCTTAAACAGAGAGGGCTCTATTCTTCCAGCCACGATCAGCCTCATTGCTGGGTTTATATTTACAGCCGGCCTCTCTGCCATCTGTGCACGTGGCCTACATTGCATCTCTGAGGAACTGGAGAGGCATTATTTGAAGACCTGATTAAACAGCCAGGAAAAAGTAATCCATCATGACAAGGAGGAGACTGTAAGACAGTCACAGCGGTGCTCTGCCACGCTTTCCGACTTTCGTCTTCATTTTCTTTTACTTTCATTCTGATGCAATGCCAGATACAATAAACACTGACCAAGAGGGCACAATCTGATGACAACATTTTACCAATCCTGATGGGAGAAGAATGACCAAACTTCCCCCAGGCTTGCCGTAGCCAGGAGGTAAACGGCGTTCCTGCCAAGGGGGAGCCTTGCTCTTTCATGGTCACAGTGACCCAAATGAACCGGGCCTGAGCGGAATGCAAGATCCTGTCAATAAAGAGCTACCTGTTGCAATCAGAGCTTCCTGGTATAAGTGAAGTTGAAAGTCTATAATCGGTTGATTGAATGAGCTGGACTGTTGGAATATTAAGAGGAAACAGTTTTATTTTCTCCTGTCATCCACTTTCAAACACTGTGTTGGATCTATTTCCTAACCCAGATAGTAACCTGGGCCACTACTCAGGTCTTAAGGGCAACTTAAAGTATTTTAAAAGTCTTATTTTCAGGTATTAAAAACAACAGTGCAGACAGACAGACAGACACACACACACACAGAGACACACAAACACGCACACCAGTTAGATCTAAATCAAGATTTAATGTTCAACTTAAAGTTTATTCCCTACTCCCAGAGGAGGCGTAAGACCAAAAATCGGGACGGGACAGTGAGACAGTCTGTCACTTATTTTTCAGTCTTTTGGATCTATTTTTACCCCTCTGCTTCAGGCTTTTCCAAGGTAGGAGGAGAAGATGAATTTGGAGTAAGGAGACAAGGACTGTTTCTTTCAACTTGTGCTCTTAAGAGTCCAGAGTCATGGGAAGCATTCTCATGCCTTTTTTTCACGGGGCAGCTCTGTGGGTCTTTCAGAGGCCCCTCCATCCTAGGACTCCCCAGCTTGGGTGCCTTCCTGAAGCAGGCACGGCATGGTCTGGATGGCCTTCTGCACCAGCTCCCAGCTCAGCTTCATACCAGGCAGTGCCCCTCTTTTGTCTTCTGGTGGCTGCAGCCTCAGCGGCTAGGACCTTGTGGGCAGGGTCCTTCCTAGATGACGTCAGCCCTGCTTTCTTCATGTGCAACTCATACCCTTGCTCTCCCCAAAGGTGGACAGAGAGCTTCTGCCCACGGTTGCCTTTTCCTTTCTCCTCCCACGTTGTGGGCAGCTCCAGATAACTTTAAGTCAGAATATGTTGCCCAATTTCCATCTTTGCAAGCACTTCCCAGTAAAACAAACACACACAAACTCACACATACACAGACTCTGTTCAAGGGGTTTTCTTGGTGCCTCCACTGCTCGACTTGGGGAGGAATGAACACACCATGATAATCTCTAATCCTATGAATTTCAGCACTTCAAAGCATCCTCCACCCCTAACGGCAGTTACAGGCAATGGTCACTGGGCCTGTGTGGTCAGCGCCAACAAGTCCTAGAAGAATGTATCTCACACCTCTCGTTAGAAATGGGATTACTTATCTTGCATATTCATCAGCTTTATGGCCTTAGCTGAAAATCAATGTTAACTGGAGTCCTCTTGTTCTGGGACTTGTGTACCAGGCAGTATTCATGTAAATGTCGCCATGTTGTCACAGCTGATGAGATTAACGCATGGCTTTCAGACCATGGCTCGCGTGAGAGACCATGGTTTTAGAGGTTCCTTTTCTCCTACTTATCCATTACTGTGTCAGCAGAAGACCATGTACTTAGTCACACAAATGAAGCTACCCTAACCCTTAGAGCACGTTAAGTGAAGGGAAATAAGTAGTCCATCAGAGAAATCGGTGATCTTGAACAAGAGTTAATTGTCCCTTTACATTCCTAGACAGTTCCTTTCACTGCTTTACCCATCTGGGACGGCTGTTCTGTAGTTGCTTTTTTTGTTTTGTTTTAATCAAGAAAAAAAAAAAAAACAGAGAAAGTCACCATTGTGAGCATTACTGCGAGAGTCTGAGAGTCTTCCGATAACTGGTTAGGAGTGCACAAAAGATAAGACCTCAATGGCCACATTTTCAGTAATAGAAGCCAAAGAAAGACTATGTCTCATATACTTCTGTAGTTATACAGAAATAGCTACTTTCTAGTAAATTTACTGCAGGGAAAGATTAAGACAAGATTAAGTCACATAAAGAGGAAAGAACGGGGCTAAAAAAAGTTAAAATGAACATAATCAACAGACGGTATGAAAACTTTTCATAAGAAGTATGAATACTTAAAAGTTTTTGGATCTATATAAACAATTGTTCAGTCCCTACTTTAAAGGAAAAAAAAAGAATGGATGATTTTGAACTTCTTTAGTGCCACAACATTTCAAAGCAGCTGACCAGTTTTTTCTTTTGGTTTGTTTTGTTTATTTTCTGGTAGGAATTGTACTGTTATGGGGATATAACATGATTTATCTAATAGATTTATGCTAGCTTTGAATATACCACCATACTAAACTTCTAAAAGACTACAGAATAAAATAAAATTAAGACTTTATCAATTACAGAAAAAAGGACAATTTATCAAAATCTGTTTAAAAAAAGAGAAAAACATTTTTACTTTCAAGTGATTATTCCTGCTAATTTTCTGCCAAATTCCATTGATTTAAAATCACAAATATGTATGTGTGTATACAAACATATGCTTATCTACTTTATATATATACACATCTATATATGTTCTATATATATAGAATATACATTCTATATATAAATATATATATTTTATATTCATATGACTCTAGAATATGTATGTTCCATATATATATATATATTCTATATTCATATGAAACACTGAGAAGAAAGGCAGGCCACAACAGAAGGGGGAAGGTAGTAATTTACTGGTTGTTGTCTTGACAACCATAGGTACCTATTGTTCATGATGACTGGATCTCACTGGACGGAGATATATACCTATATTTGTAAGTGTAGATAGATATAGATATAATTTACTAGCACAAATACACCATCAGTACACAAATGTACATCTGGATTAACTCAATAACTTCAAATTGACTTTGAGAAGAGGGAAAACAAGATGGATTTTACGAACAATCCACGCATAACTGTAACTACAGCAACCAGAGCAAAGTTGACCGCATCTTACCAGGCTTAGGGACAATGAGCTGTGCACTGGTCTGGGCATTTCCAGCTTCATTTTCAGCCACACACTGATAAAAGCCTTCATCCGACTTCACCACCCCAAGGATGCGTAAGTTGCTTCCTCCCTAGGGAGGAGAAAAAGCAGGTAAAGTATTTGAAAGGGCAAAAAATGCAAAATGACAAAATGAACCCAAACAAATTCATTTTAAAAAAAACTTCACAGAAGAAACCAGGAGGCCAAGAGGGTCCTCAGTCTCACAGGGATGTCCCACGTCACCTGGGGAATGTCACAGACTCCCCAGACTGCTGAGTCCTCCTGCAGCAACAGAACAATCTAGTTCTGCAATGAAACGATACACTCTCAAAAATACACATCATCTTCCATATCTAAACGAGCAGTAAACAGAAAACTCTTTTATTAGGTATGGAAGAAACAGAGGCAAGTATAAAAGAAATCTCATTATTCTTTTCCCTCTATTGAAGTAAATAGGTTTGACAGCTGCTGGAGGGGGAGTGGGGAAAAGGAAAAAAAATACTGCTCTTTGCAGCTTCTAAAGGACAAGAAATCCACACTGGATATTTTCTGGAAGTGTTTGCCGAGAAAAAAAGTCTGAAAATCCTTTTAAAATTGTGTGCCCTTTCAGGGATTTGGAGGAGAATATGATGGATATTTTACACCTATGTCGCTCTAGTTATATGGCCGAAATGTCTCACCTTCAGTAACCCATAAATTAAACACAGCAACGTTAACTCACGTTTTATATAAATTAGGCCGCCATCTTTTTCAAGGATGGGTGATAAAATGATTTGAAACAGCATTTAATTATACTAACTCAGTTTATCTTCGATAGTGTAAGAATTAGTTCAGTAAGTGAGATGTGTTAAATCACTTCCCCTGAAGTCATTAAGAGATAAATATTACCTCGTGGGGAATTCTTAATTGTTTTTAGTGTCTTGTAGTCAATTCTCAGCTGATGTAAAATTCTCAGATAAAGCTGACTAACTTCTAATTAACAGTTCTCATATAAGTTACTGTTGCTGCTAAATGTTACACGTGTGACAGACAATGGCTCTCAGAGATCTGGAGCTTTGGGGGAAATATTTTTAAGCACAATTTAATGTGAAGAGGGCTCATAGCATACATTTTCTTTTCACCTTAAGAAAAGAAACATTTAAATAGCTTGGCTATAATGAGTCATGCTGGGAGAAAAATTATTCAAACTGTAGGAAAAATAAATGTTGCTTTTTATCATGCATCCTTAAGGGCACTCAACAATTTCCTGTATGTGCAAGGAGCATATATTTTAGGTGTATACAACACATTTCAAGTTGCCCCATGGCAGGTCATTTTTAATTCAGTGATGGGGAAATAATGGATTGATGTGGCATTCAAAAGTTAAATGTTTTCCCTTTCTTATTATACTATTCTCAACCAATTAAACAAATGCAACTAAAAGTGAAAAATGGTAAGTGGTGATAAATGTGATAAAGATATTCTTTATGGATTTCTTCCCTAAGAAACTTTATAGTGTGACAAAGTGCATGGACAAAGAGATTAGGAAAGTTTCTGAAAGTCAACTGGTCACGGAAGAGGAATCCACCAGCAGAGGCAGGGGAAAGCCATGGAGCGAGCTTGTGCCTGAATTCAGAGGGCATTTACACTCGAAATCCCACTTTGCCGGGAGACCTGACTTGGAAGACCAGTCTTCTTAGGGTCTTGTCTGCATCTCAAACTAAGAGAAATGGACTGAAAGCCTCCTTCTTGGGCTGCAAAGTTCTTTGATATTTAAAAAAGTGCTTTTCCTATGTCTCATGTATTCATACACTTGAATTCAGAACCTCTGATGCTGAGTTACCCCAAAAGGAGAGTTTTCATAAAGCTTCTTCAAATGAGCCAAGCATTTTCCTGGTAACAGCAAAACCAACAATAATAATGATAGGTCTTGATCACTCACTATGTCCCAGGACAACAACTCAGTGGATATAACACTGTTATTCCTGTCATTCCCCTCCTCAAGGACAAGGGCAGAGTCCGCTAAACCTTATAGAAAGCACAAGAACTATTGTTCTCAGCTTCAATTCTTTCCAGTGTTCTAAATTACAAAGCAATGTGAACTCTGGGTCTCCATGGCTTCTCCACCACTGCCACCACCACTGTCAATGCCACCATCACCACTGCCCTTCTCTAGGCTCACAGAGGATCAGCTAGTTCTATCCAGAAGAGCAGTGAAGGAGCAAAGAGCAGCCATCTGTACTATCAAAGTAAGACTACCATAATCGTAAGTAGCACGTCTCGCTGTAACTTCACTGTAATGGGCAGAAGTCAAAGTGGTAAGAGATTCCTGGCTTAGACAGTCTTTAACTAGGTTCCAAACTCTGTTTTCCCAAGAACCACAAAGGAGAATACTCAGAAAGTAATGATCTTAGATCCTCTATTTTTTCCCTTGTTTGTTTAAAACCTTGTCTGTAACCCAGGAGGGCTGGACAATGGCTGATTGATTACTCTTTTTTTTTTTGGCTCAAAAATTCTAAGTCTAAAAAACCATTTGCTTTATTACAACAATTTTCTTCACACATCATAAAAATTCCCAAGAGGAAATTTGTTCCAGGGAAAGAACAGCACGGAAAACATAGGAGACAATGAATGGGATTGTAAAGCTCATATGAAAAAAGACAATTACCACTATCTGAAAATAATCACTAGGAATGACCACATCTCCATTCTTCATCCAGTTCACAGTGGGCACAGGCTTCCCAGAGACCGCACATTCAAACTCAATATCCATGCTTTCATAGGCATAGAGGTTGGAGGGATGATTTAAAAACCATGGCGGAACTGTAACGACAGAAAACAGAAGTGAGTGGGCAGGATGTGAACTTGCGATGCTCTAGTCTTCTCTGAGTTAAAAACAAATATTGAAACTATTTGTAATTCAAATAATTCCCATAAACACTTTGACTTTAGTTTACTTACAGGAACTACCAGAGGACACAATACACCCCCACCCCAACCTCCCATGCAATTAAACAGTTGCCGTTAATGGTGTTCTGCCACAAAGAAGTTTTTAAAAAATGGAAAAAATGTTGGCATATAATAAACATTCTGAATACCTAAGTATTTGTATCCAGTTGACCTACATAAAGGACGGTGGAAAGTGCATAAAATTATGCAAACTGTGCTGATAAAGCAAATGAAGGAACACTACTATGACTGAGACAACCCAGAGGATAAAACAAGAAAGCTGAGTGTCCCTGTAATTCAAGAGTTTCATTAGGATTTAGTTAAGGTGATGGACTCATTCCTGTTGAAACTGGCTGTAGCGACAGGACACTAAAAGTGACTATCATTTTTACTGTGGACATATTTCTGTTGTCCCAGCAATTACCTATCTAGTGCATTACTACACTGTATTACTATTTTCTCAGCAGGGTACATGATACACTAATTTAATTTAATGTCTTAATTACCATAATACTAGTTACTCTATGATGGAAATTTGCAATTGAAAGGAAAGCACAAATATAACACACCTTTGCTAGCAAATTTCTCAAGCTTGGTCCCTCAAAACCCTGCCTAGGAGAGGAATATTCTGAAAAGTGATGTTTATCTCCTTCCACTGAGAATCTTAAAATGATGTCAGATTTGAATATTTATACTGTCTGAGATCCAGGTTAACTACACAGTGAAGTAGCAGCCCTAGTCTCCTTTCAGATTGGAAATAAATATGCATTTTTAGTAGACATTTTTAAAGATTGCAGTTTTTGTCATTTTGCTGTTATGCTCAATGAGTAAGGAGTGCTGATTTTTGCTTCTTTCAGTAACCACCACACTTTGCTCTTTCCAACTACTATCAGCAAAACTTACCCCTGAAGTCAAAGTGAATTTGCCATCTTTGATGGTCACTGCCTTCTAGAAAAATAGGAGAGCCAGTGGAAAGCGCCCAGGACTCAAGTTGTAGTTTTTCCACTGAATGATCTTGAAAATGGACTCTCTCTTTCTATTTCCCTCCCTGTCTTATTTTCCTTGTTTTTTAACTAAATATTTGGATCTCTAGTGCTAAACAACTTTTAAATTTTTTAATTTTTCACAAGGGTAAATTGGTTTAGATTACTCAGCTGGGAGGTATTAATAGTGTCAGACTAAAGACATGAAAAAAAATGTGTCTGAGAGCTCTTCTACAGGGAATGTGTCCCCACTGTATATAGGGTTAAAAATAATTAGAGCTGATATTACTGTGAGATTTATTCTTTGACCGAGTTCACTGAGAGTGAACCAAAAGACATCAGAAATATTTCCTGAATGTCTCTAAACAGATATATTAATTGTCTCTTTTGGATTCTGTTCTAAATTTTATCACAGATTTTGATCAAGAATTTATTTAACAGCCAACAGCCATTATTTAGCAAGAGCTGACTGTACAATCTGTTACTCTAAGCACTTTATATGTATTATTCACACAACTCTTTGAAGCAGGTTCTATCATTCCCATTTCACAAACGAAGAGACTAAGGCATAAGGTGTTTAAATAACTTATCCAATCATACAGCCGGTAGGTTGTACGGCCAGACAGGCTGACTCCCTTCCTTACATGCTGAACTATTTTGTAATCGTTTTGCCCCTGGAAAATTCCAACGGAAGAGTAGCTCAAAAAGATTCCTGAAGGCTTACACATAATAGAGTTAAGCAATTAGAGCTGTTAAAAAAAAGTAACACCATGTTATCTATTCCTTTTCTCCTTTTAAGTTCTTCTTTCCTGCAGCCTGAAAACTGCCCAAGTCTGCTCAGCCTCAGTGTTCATGTTCATCAGAATTCCTGGAATCATCTGTGCCCACATTAGAGTTTTCAGATTTTGAGTGACTTCCATCAGTGGATCTTGAAATTTGTGGGAGTTGAAACTAAACTTTAAATATGTATGTCTATAAATAAAGACACGTACATAAACATACACCTATATATACACATACACATGTACATAAACCTATACATACACACACACACACACACACACACACACATATATACGTATATATCAGAGGAGAAGAGTAGAAAAGGAACAGGAAGAATTAAGACCACAGAAAAAGAAAATGGGAAGAGAAAAGGACACTAAAGCTACACTGAAGAAAAGCAAAGAGAAGCCAGATTGCTTTGATTTAAGTTCCAGTCCGTCCACTTACTACAAGTGTTTCCATTAGCGTCCCCCTTTATAACTTGGAGATAAGAATTGAAGATAAGAATGACCATTAACGTTTGTAAATGACTGTGCATCACTGTATGTTAAAGAAAAACAATACATAGAAAAACATCAGAGTGCATCAACTCCAAAATATCATACTGCATATACGTAAATACACATATTAATATGCAAATACATGGCTGTGTCTCTGTGTGTGTATGCAACAGCTTCTTTTTTTTAATTCCCTGAGTCTCCAGTTTGACTTATCTTTTCATATTCTCAAATGTCTAAAATAGTGTGCCTCATGCAGTAAAATTTCTTAAGAACAAACTATTGAATTTAAGTGACGTCTGTTTTCTGATAGTTTTGTGTAGGTTCATTCTGAATGTTTCCTCAACTTGAAGAGGAGGAATCATCTTCCTGTTTATTATCTTTCAGTGGAATTAAATCAACTGAAGCTGATCACACAGTGAATCCGGCAAACCTTCTGTTTCATTGATTAGTAAGAGACCCAGGTGACCCCTGAACAGCAGAGGGATTAAGGACACCAAACCTCCGTGCAGTTGAAAATCCTCATGTGTAACTTTACAGCTGGATCCACAGTTCTACATCCTAGGAGCATGTAGTACTGTAGCATGTATTCAATGAAGGAAATTCATGTCTAGTGGACCCGTAAGTTCAAACCTGTGTTCTTCAAGGGTCAACTGTAATAATAACTTCTGATTAAGGGAATAATCATTTGTTTAAGTACATAGTTGTAACTGTAAAATGGTTAAAAATCACCGAGGCATTCTTGGTATTTTTCTACCTCCAAATGCCTACATGGTCATGATCTATCGTCTGTAACTTTCTCATATCTCTCAGGCTCTCAGCATTGCACTGGATAATCTTGTCTTCCCTGGCTGTCTAGGTACTTTCATTTCTATATCAGGTTCCCCAGTTTTCACATTATACCAGATGACATAGAAGGATGACAAACATTGTCTCTTTCACTTAAATGGGAAGAAGAAGCATCAAGCAGCAATATTACACATGAAAAATGGGTATAAATCTCATGCTTTCTGAAAATATTCTGCCTTTCTTGGACAGTGTCAGCAGCCATCAGCAGATTGTGTGGTGAGGACAAGGGCTCATGATTTCTCTTCACATCTCAGAGGTTAATACACTGCCTCATTCGCAGCATGTGCTCAACAAAGATTTGCTACTGCTTGTAATAAGAACTCAAGCAATAAAATGCACATGTTCATCCTTTCCTGCAGCAACAGTGGTACAAGATGAGGAGGAAGAGTTTGGATGATGTTATGGAAAACATGTACTCACAAAATAATTTTATCACCCTAGAAAATAAAATGTCAGTAATTGATCAGAAAAAATAAAGAGCAAAATATGACGCCACATGACCTGTTGGAGAAAAATCTATGTATGTGTTATTTTAGACACCTTTAAGAAATATTCTTCAAGCTCTTCTCTGTTTGAGCCAAAATAAAGTCCTTATAGGACTTGGGGAAAGTTCTTGAAAAGGTCTGAATATATAGACCTGGATTGGATTAGAAATTAAGTGAAAACTTTTCTTTCTTTCTTTTTTTTTTTTTTAAACTTTTCAACCTTGCTTTTAAATACTGCATCACCAAACTGCTACCTACTTTCCTGCACTTACCATCCACACATCCTTCACGTACACCCTATGGCTAAATTTAACAATCACACCCAGCCTTTTCTGATCCCAAATGTTTGTTCATTCTGTTTTCTCATCCTTCAGTGTTTTTTGTTTCATCTACCTATCCTTCATGAATCTACTTCTCCCCTCCAAAAAAATGTTTTTTTCTTTTCTTGTAAAATTTCCTCCCCTTTTAGAAACCCTGTGGTGTGTATTTTAACTGATTTTTACAGCACTTTGCAAATTAGTGTTAACTCCTTTGCACAAGATGCTTTATCATGCTAACATAAATTCAATACATTGCTTAACATGTTTCTTGATCATTATGCTATCTGAGCAAGAGTGGAACAATGAGGTTTACCCAATTTTTCTCTTTTTATTTGATCTCTTTGTCTTTTTCTGTGATGAGCAGATAAGGATCTATTTACCCCATGTTAGGATTGCTTCCTAGAATTTAGAATCTAGGATATAACCACGTGACACCTTTCACAGCTCTGGAGTACTAGATTCTAACAGAAACTAAGGTTGGGACTAACAAGTGAATATGACTTATCAATGGTTGTGGACACGTTTCTTCAGCCTTTTTTTTTTTTTTTTCTGATCATGAATCCCTGCCCAGCACTACATTCCTTACAGGATATAATTTCTATTTATTCTCTAAGAAGAAACAACCATTCTTTTTCCATGAAGTTTTGCCCTTCATGAAGCTGACAATGGATTTTCCTGCTTCTTTCAGTGCCCTCTCCCTGGGCTCAAGTTTTATACCACTTAATATTGTTAGATAACTTTCATATACATCATTATTTACTAACCAGACTGGGATTCTTAAAGATGGGGCCTGAAACACGCACTTTTTTTAATTCCTTTTGAATGTTAGCATAATTCCCCCTCCCTTCCACTCTTGTGAAAGGAATAATTCACTACTTTAAGCTGTTTGGTGGCCAGCAATTTCTTAATGACTTATAAAAATGAAGTACCATGAATTTTCAAGTTTATCAAATCATT